GATATTACACAGTCCAAGGTAAAAAAAAAAAAAAGCACATTTTGTTAAAAAAGAGAAAAGTTGGGAGGTTGTATCAAAGCATAGCTCAGTAGCTTAGTACATATAAGATACATAAATGTAGTTTCATTTGTCTGAGTACAAGCTTTTATTTTTTCAATTTTGCACCCTGTTTTGTCCCACTTCTCAAGAATGACTGAACTACTGGATTACTTGCTAGCAGTAAATAATAAAGAACCTAGATGTAGGCTAACATTAAAAGACTAATGGTGAAATAAATAGGCTACATAGAAAAAAAAGCTATAATTTTGAATACAAATGTATAAAACTGTTTGATACCCGATGAAGGCCTGGATAACGGCCGAAACGTCATTTTAATCAAAGTTTTCACCCCTTCAAAAGTGAGTGCTGCACCTTTTTCAATTGATAAAACTGTTTCCATAAAACAAATTAGTACACATAGGTCGAGTTCTGCTTTAATTTGCGTCTTTTGACTGAAACTTTCTGAAGACGGCTAGGATCCTGTAGAGACGCTCGCGCACCGCTCGCTTCGCGCGTGATGAGCAGATTTCCCTTTCTTTCTCTCGCTCCGTTTCTATCTGCATCTATCTCATCGGCGCTGACCATCGAGAGCAATCGCCTCCTATTGATTTATCGACCTGCTCCCACCTCGAGAACGATAAACCGGCCGTCGCGTCGTGAACTGCGTTTTAATGACCTATTTACTGTCCGCGCGCGTAAACATGCTTCGAAACTACGAGTCGGTCGCACAGATGTCACATCACTCCAGTCGTTTACCATGAGAGAACTGAACATGTGCTGGAAGATTATTGCGACATTGAGCTTGGACTGTTTTAAAGGTTCTCCGTCGTCTTCGCACAGGTACGTCATATTTCAGTAACTGTGTCAGTGTTGCGAATTATCTGTATGAAGATGTTTGCATGCATATGCAGGATTCGTGTTGGCGGACTGAACAATGGCATACTATAAATGGGTTGCTATGGCAATGCCTGCTCCGAACATCATCTTTACAGAGATCGTGCGATGTCACTAGAATGCATGATGCATACAAATCTAATGCATGGGCTTAATCTGATATACAGCACAAAACAGAACAATAATGATGTGCTTCAATCATAGATAAGATGGTTTGCTGATCTAGTCTAGTCTGGCTGTTTTAAGGCACTTTTTAGCTTGATCAGGCTGTTATTGCATGCTGTCTTTAACAATAAAATGATGTAGTAGGCTATTCGGTAAACGTAAGATTCATCCTGGGGTCACAGCACTAGGTTATGCAACACTACCTTCCTTTGTGAGCATGTCACATTTCTCCTAAATTGAGAAGGAGTCGGTTCTCAGATTCTACTTTGTCTCAGATGTGTCTCCTAAAAGAAAAGAAAATAGATATACAGTAAAAAAAAAAATAAAAAATACACACAGAATGAGTATAGAGTTGTAGGTGAACATCATAGTTTAGATAAGAATTTGGTCTCTGAAGTATATTGAGGTTCTTGTGATTTTAAAACTAAAGATTTGAGAATGTTTCTTAAATTTACAATTTGAAATTAATACATTTATTTTATTGAAATAAATACATGTATTCCTGATTATGTATTGAAAACACTGACTTAAAAAAAAAATCCAATCAATCAGCATTAGATTTGACTTGAAAATGTAAAAATTAAAGATTAAAGAACATTTCTTAATTTACAATTTCAAATACTTATTCCAGATTTAAATTGCAGTTTGAATTGAATAAATCCATCAACAAGTTTTGAATTGAAAACGTAAAAATTAAAGAATATTTCGATTTTTAAAAATGTTTTATTGAAATTACTTTAAAAGGAGAAATTAAATGACATTTTCAGCGTGGTCTGTTTTTGATGAGAAATAGTAGATTTTAAATCGAATCCTCTTGACGTCTTCAAAAAAAATCCTTAAAAAAGGCAAGGCATTTACATTTTAAAAATATAGCAACTTAAAAAGCTAAGCTATACATGTTTTTGTTCATGTGCATTTTTCTGGCATTTACCAGAGAAACGATTCAAATACTAAATAGATCTCATCCGTCTTTTTTTTTCTTTTCTTCTTTCCCATGGTCCTGCAGGTCATCCACAAAGCTGGGCTCGAGTCAGGCCGCCAGCATGGAGAGCAGTTCTCTGACCGGCAGTCTGTCTCTGAACTCTGATGTTCCTCACTGCCAGTGCTGCATCTCTTACGAGGCCCGGCTGAAGCGTCTCTCCTGCGGCCACCTCTACTGCGACCCCTGCTCCGATCAGATCGTCAACCTGGCTTTTGAGGACATAGAAGGTCTGGCCGAGTATCCCTGCCCAGTGTGCAAAACCCTCCGTCACCTTGGAGGCTTCGCTTCAGCCCACAGCTACCAAAGCATGACCCACTGTTCGCCCTTCGGAAGTCAAAAGCAGCAGCTAGTTGAAGAGAAAGGAGGCCTGTGGGAATGATTGTGTCATTCAAAGGAAATGCTCACCCAAAAATGACTGTAAATGTAAAAGTGCTGAAAATGTACTCACCCCCAGGCCATCCAAGATGTAGATGAGTTTGTTTCTTCATCACAACAGATTTGGAGAAATTTAGCATTACATCGCTTGCTCACCAGTGGATCCTCTGCAGTGAATGGGTGCCGTCAGAATGAGAGTCCAAACAGCTGATAAAAACATCACAGTAATCCACACCACTCCAGTCAATGAATGTCTTGTGAAGTGTTTGTAAGAAACAAGTCTATCATTAAGGTTTTTTTTTGGTTCGCTTCTGGCCAAAATAGTTCATAATTCATAATAATGCTTCCTCCAGTGAAAAAGTCCATCTCCTGCTGTCTCTCACATGAGCTATTTTGGACTGGTTTTGCATGTAAATGGTGCTTGATCTGTGCATATTGATTCAGAAGATGACTTTTTCACTGGAGAAAGCAATGTTATGGATAGAGGACTGGAACTGGAAGCAAAGGTTAGAAGTTAAAAATGTCTTAATGATTAATTTGTTTCTTACAGACATGCAGCTTTTCACTTTACTAGGCATTAATTGATGGAGTGGAGGCATGTGGATTATTTGGTAATTATGATTGTTAATTAATTGTGATAAGCTGTTTGGACTCTCATTCTGACGGCACCCATTCACTGCAGAGGATCCACTGGTAAGCAAGTAATGCTGAATTTCTCTAAATGTGTTGTTATGACGAAACAAACTATGACGAAACAAACTAACCTACATCTTCGATGGCCTGAGGGCGAGTACATTTTCAGCAGATTTTCAGTTTTGGGTTAACTACTCCTTTAATGCAGTGGTTCTCAAATGGAATTGTTTCAAGATCCAGATTTGACATGATTCCTTTATAAGATTACTGTATATAAGCTTACTACTAACTACACACAATTACCAGGACAGATGCATCACTCATTTCCAGGTCGTGACCCACCAGTTGAGATCCACTGTGATTGAGCTTCATATCATGGTTCATTATTCTGAATCTATTATCTGTAAAATGAGAATACAATTTTAAGCGAGACCTGCATCGTAAGCGAATCATTTAATAGGTTTCATATGCTCTTCAGTGCCATAATTGAGGAAAAGTTGATGCTAAGAGTGTTTTACTTCATTACTGGTGGAAGTGATTTAAACAAACTACTGGCTTTCATAGATAGTACATTCAGTTTGTATTCTGTTGTATTTGGTGTTTTTAATGCCAGATGATATATATAGTAGTAAAGCTTACCTGAGTGTGTATTTATTTTTGTAATGCGTGCTGTTGATGTAAACAGTTATTTATTTGGTAATTTACAATTCATGAACTTCTTGTAATGCTTCTTGTAAAGTGCTCATGTTGTAAATATCTATATTTTGATAAGATTCAAGTATGTCAGAACTAATGGGCTCATTTGTCATATATTTTTAATAAGCCAGAATAACAAATGTTAAGAAAACCATCAAAGAGTTGTATTTAGGAGCTATAACGTGTATTTATTTATCTAAAATGTGCCAATAAAGGTTGTTATAAAATAATAAGGAATGAAAAACATGAGAATAGGTAATGATTTGTCCCTGTGGCAGATGCAAGGATGAAAAATACAAAACAACTGGAATCAGTTTTAAGGCACAAGCACTGGGTCATTTCATGACATGCAAGCAATTCTTGTGCAATCAAATACATTTTGATTCAATTCAGTCTTGTGAAATATGTTGATGCAAGATAGTTCAAGTCCATTTCTCCTGCTGATATGAGAGCGAGACAATAGAGTGAAATCTCAACAAGGTACCGTATGTTAATGTTTCCAGCACCTTTTCCCCGTAGGGGAAATAAAAGTAGGACACAAACCTCTGGAGCTACTCTCTCAATTTTAGAACATCACTGTTGTCAGACATTGGTGGCGTAACGCTTTTTGAGGAAGAACATCTCACAAGGACAGATCTGAAGCCGTCTGCTTTGTAACCCACATCACTAAGGAGCTAGAGCTTTCCATCAAACCTAAAAGGAATAGTTCACCTAAAAAATGAGAACGTCACATTTATGTTCTTCCAAATGCTGTTATTTTTTCCTTAGAATATTAAAATGAATTTTTAAGTGAAAAACAACAGCATTGGGATGAGTAAATAATGACAGTTTTCATTTTTGGGTCAACTATTAAAAAGAGAAAGGAAAACTTGAAATCGCATCATATGACCCCTTTAACAGAATGAGCAGTTCTGAACACTAATTTGTAGAAAATCTGTCAGTCTTACAAAAGAAATCCACAGGAAAGGAAAAAACATGTTGAAAGAAGTCCTGGAACTCCACTGATTGAAAACGGAGAGAGTAATGCGCACAAGATAAAAAATATAAAAACGAGAATATAAAATGTCCTTCAGCATGAGCGCTACTTTTTTGTCCTTCCTTATACACAAATGGACTTAACTCTCATCACAAAATGATTTTAAAAACACATCCCCGTTCATTATGATGAAGTAGTAACACTTAAATATCCACTTAAATGGCAGAGGCAGCATTTAAATAATTGTAATATCACTGATGTTGCATCTAGTCTCCATTTCTCTTCTATTTTTGTATTAATACTTAATAGAATACAAAAATGCATAGCACACTTAACAGTATTGTGCCGTTGCTTGTAAATATTAAGAGGCAAGACAGCATTTTGTATTATTTGCATTCAACACGGAGGCTGAAGATTATTTTGTGTCCATCTTGTGGCCGTTCAGGGAACGGCAAAACCTCCTTAGTTGCATTATTAGCATGATAGCAGCCATTTTCCCGCCTTTTTGGTTGAGGAAACACAAATCGCTATTTTACTAGCCTACCATACCATAGAACTACTGCTACATGCACAAACTACTTAAAGCTAAAACTGTTTCTTGATCAACACAGAAGTTATCAAATCAATATTTTGGCATAAACCTCAGACACATAACATTTCACATGCAGACAATTAGGCTACTAGCACTCTCTGCTTCGCTACAGTTTTTCATTTTCATTTAAAGTAATAGTAAATTCTGTTGTTATTTAGTCACCCTCATGTCGTACCAATGTCTTTTTATTTTCTTTCTTCCATGGAACACAAGGTAAGAAAAATGATCACAGTTTCACATGCAAATTACAAGCTTTCAAGCTTCAAAATTAATCATTTTCTGTGAACAAAATCAACTGATTCATTGAAAAGATTAATCTCAATTAATTCACAAATTGCATACTGCTACTTTTAAAAGAAGATTTTTAGTGAATAATGATTAAAATTTTGTTTTATTTTCACACAAAATCATGACTTTAGAAGAAGTAATAAAGGCCTACATTTGGAACAACATGAGGATGAATAAATAAGATTCTTTATTTTTAGTGAACTAGACCATGTAGTTAAATTATCTTATAAAAACAACAGAGGAAGAATTTCATGTTGTAAATCGTTGACGCTTTTTTGCTAGCCTGTTTTATGCTTAACTCTACATACAAAAAAGCCCATGTCAATCTGTGCTTTTTCAAGTGCACATAGATTTCATGTTTCTAGTGGAGTTTCTGCTTTGTACCGTATTGAATTGTTTTAGTAACACAAACACCAGAGGGGGGCGTTTCTTTCCTTCCTAAAGATCAGTGTGAGTTTCCGGGGCGTTTGGGAAGTTTGGCACTAGGGAAGGGAATGTAACGCTGCCCTGATTGCGGCTCTTGGTGGCCGAACAGAAACGTGTGCTTGCCGTTATTCCTCTGCGCAGGCCTGGATGGATCAGATGCCGTCCGCTGGGCTCTGGGAGGGACGGAGGAGTGGGCCGCACCTCGGCTGGGCAGCAGCGGCTGTTGTTGACATGTTCTAGAGGAAGAGGAGAAGAGGAAGGTCCCATTGTTGGCGTTCTGGTTGAGGTTGGAGTCCAGCCGGCGTGGCTCCTGTCGTTTAGTCTGGTTCTCGGGGCGTCTGTGAGAAGCCTGAGCCAGTTTCTCTCGGAGCTGCTGCACTTCCCAGGCCAGCTGATCTAATGGATGCTGACTGCAGGAAGACGTGGGGTGTGAGAAAGCCTACAGGAAGTGGAGAGAGAGACGGATATTATAAAATTGACTTGTTGATTACAAGCCATCAACAACATGAGGATGTTAAATATCATGTTTTCAATAATCAAATATCCATCCATCCATCTTTTCATCCGTTTACTCATTTATCTGTTTAGCCATCTATTTATCTGTTCAGCCATCCATCCATCCTTCCATCTTTTTAGCTGTCCATCTATCCATTCATCTATCTACCTGTTTAGCCATCCACCTGTCTGTCCGTTCATCCATCCGTTTAGCCATCTGTCCATCCATCCATCCATCCATCCATCCATTTATCTTTTTAGCCGTCCTTCCATATACATGTAACTGTTTAGCCATCCATCTGTCTATCCATCCATCCGTTTAGGCATCTATCTATCTATCTATCTATCATCTGTTTAGCCATCCACCTGTCTGTCCGTGCATCCCTCCGTTCAGCCATCTGTCTATCCATCCATCCGTTTATTTATCCATCCATTTATCTTTTTAGCTCTCCTTCCATACAGTACATTCAACTGTTTAGCCATCCATCTGTCTGTCCTTCCATTCATCTGTTTAGCCATCTGTCTATTCATCCATCCATCCATCCGTTTAGGCATCTGTCTATTTATCCATCCATCCATCCATCTTTTTAGCAGTCTATCTATCCTTCCGTCCACCCATCCATCCATCTATTTGTTTAACCATCTATCTGTCCATCCATCCATCCATATATCCATCTATCTATCTATCTATCACCAAAGTGGCTTTCACAGTACATACAAACTTAAATATGTTGCACTAATTCTCCCAGAAAGTGATGATTTCTTTTCTTTTCAAGAAAACTTAGGATGAAAACACAGCTTTGCAATTTGTTTTCACTGTATTTTGATGATTTGCATACATTAAATCTGCAACCTAGTGGAAAAAACCCCATCACAGTGTACCTGAGCGTGTAGTGTGCCCCGTAAATAGCAGCCCCTCCATACTCTGACACAGGGTCCCAAGAGCAGGGGCAGCAGGGGCTCGTATGGGTCGTGGAGGATTGAGGGGTTCTCTGAGGGTTCAGAGAGCGAACAAGCTCGGATGAGACGCTCGAGTCCAGACAGACTCTCAGATGAAGGAGCCCTGCGGTGGCTCTTCCAGTATGAGCCAGAGTTTCCGCTCCTCCAGGGGAGCAGGTTGGAGGGATGGGAGAATGTGCTACGGGACAACAGGAACACAGAGCCTGGCAGTCCATCATTGTGCTGAGAGAGAGAATAAACAGCATTAACACACTCTTTAACAGGCTAATGAAGCGGTACAGTCAGTTGACAGACCAATTAGAAAAATGACCTAATTTTGGCAAAGGTTTATTAGTTGGCCTAATTTTTAAAGAACCTCCCTTTTGATTTCCAGCCATCTAGGGCAGCCCAGAAAACATGAATCAATGATCATTAACTTGACACAAGCAATGCCTGTTAGCTGATAATTAATTTCTCTGTCCTGTACTATCAATTCCCTACTCAATATTGTTCCTCTCTATAAGGCAAGGAGGAAATGAATAGTCATATCTGATGCTTTTACAGTGCAGTTATTACAGGGGCGATCCCTCAGGAGAAACCCGAGATTAAAAGAAGAATTCTAACTAAATATGAAAAGTCTGTCATTGTTTTCTCAGCTTCATGTCATTCTGACCCTGTTTTACTATCTATTATTGTCTTGGATGGTGACTTGTACACTACCATTCAAAAGTTTGGGGTCAGTAAGAAGTATTAATGTTTTTGAAAGAAGTCTCTTAGGCTCACCAAGGCTGCATTTATTTGATAAAATACGGTAAAAACAGCAATATTTCATAATATTCTTTCAATTAAAAAAAATGTTTTCTATTTAAATATGTTTTAAGATGCAATCTATTTCTATGATGCAAAGCTGAATTTTCAGCATCATTACTCCAGTCTTCAGTGTCACATGATCCTTCAGAAATCATTCTAACATGCTGAATTGCTGCTCAAGAAACGTATTATTATCAATGTTGAAAACAGCTGTGCTGCTTAATATTTTGTGGAAACATTGATACATTTTTTCAGGGTTTTTGATGAATAGAGAGTTCAAAAGAAAAGAAAAGCATTAATAGTAATATTGCCTATTTTTTTGGTGCTTTTTGAAGCTTGGCTGCAACTTTTTATGAAAAAAATATAACCTTGTGTTTCACAAAAAAATATAAACAGGATAAGAATGGCATGAGGGTGAATAAATTAAATAAAAGTAAATAAAATGTTTATTTTGGGGTCTCGGATTGCCACTAGTAGGATTCAAACCTATAAACATTTGATTAGCAGCCCAGATCTTTAACCACTGTGCAACATTTCTATTCCTATACAGGATGAATGTATCCTTGCTGAAATGGGACTGTTAGTGTAGTCCTCACAGTACATCAATCTTACCCAGCTGCGGTCCAGGTTGGTGTTGAGGTTTCCGTTGAGGACGGGTGGAGGGCAGGCAGGTTGTGACACAGGTTGGGTGAAGTGGGCTCGTCTCTGACCGCTGTACTGCAGGGCCCAGTCCCACACCGGAGGGAAAGGTGGGTCTACCGGCTCCTCTGGGGCGCCCATGGGCAATTCCCTCAGACCGTTCACTGGGGTGTAGCTCTGGGGAAGATGCTGCAGGGAAACAGTGCAATACAGCACACACTTCAGATCGGTTGTTTTGGCTGGTAAATGAATACATGAATCAGCAAAACTTCCAGACATTATATATATATACTAAGCTTAAATGGATAGTTCACCAAAAAATGAAACATTTCTCTTGAAAAGACTTTGATTAAACCACTCGATTCATATGGATTTGTTTTACTAAGCCTTTATGGCTTGGATTAAGCCAAGTGTTGGTTACCTGGATTTTCAGGTTTCATTACAAATATTAATTTTTTTTGTTTACAAACACTATACAAAGTCTTAAGGGTTTGGAATAGGGCTGCACGATAAATCGCATGCGATATTTAATGCGCATGACATAAAAAGTAGTAAATAATGACAGAAATTAAATTTTTGGGTGAACTATCCCTTTAATAATCAAAAAAGCGTCTAATAAAGCAAAGATAGATGTTTTACTGTAGCAACTGTTTACAAACATTTTCTCATAGCAGTGTTGCCAAGTCCGTGGTTTTCCCGCGGAATTGGGCTACTTTAACACTGTTGCCGCGGGGTTGTTTTTCATGTCCGTGGATTGAAGCGACTCCAATAACATGATATTTTTCCCCTGGAATGTGAATTTTAGCAGGGGAACCCCGCCAAAACACCCAAACCCCCCCCCCGGAACGCGATTTTTAACTGCGGACCCCCTCGAAACGCGATTAGGCTAGTTTTGAGTAGTGATTGGGTGGGTTTTCTTGCGAAAACCTGGCAACCCTGTCTCATAGCTAGGTTCACACCTTTTGCATCACTCAAAGTTTTCTTTCTTCTCAAATTATAAGATAATAACTCTATTAAAAATAGATAATAACTCTAAGATAATAACTGTAATAAATATTGCACGCCCATTTAGTTTCAGTGCCACATGATCCTTCAGAAATCTTTCTAATGTGCTGCTGCTATTTTTGTTGAAACTGTTTTTAAGGATTCTTTGAACATTATAAATGTCTTTTCTGTCACTTTTGCCCAATATAATGCCTCCTTGCTGAACAAAAATATTTAAGTTTTGAATCTTACTGGTAGTTTATGTATTTAAGTAGCTATGCAAAAGGAAGATAACGTACAATTTTATGATGCCTTATTGTAAAATTAACCCCCAAGGCAAAGACATTGCTGCATTAAATACTGTAGCTCTATTGTAGTTTGCAGCTTTTTGTTTGTGTTTTGCGTATACCTGTGAACGGCGACATCTCTCCCTCTGACTGTTGGCCAGGAAGCTGCTGAAGAGTGGAAGGTGCACGCTGTCATGCAGAGCCAGCAGGTAGTCTTCAGTAAGCTGGAAGCGTGCGGGATACTGCGCCCACAGCTGCCATACGCAGTCGAGAAACAGCAGGAACACAGGGGCCTGCCGGAGAGCAAGGTACATCACACAACTCATTTAGAACAGGACTCTTGCTGTCAATTAAAACGGAAACTAAAGCTGAAATGAGAAAATGTTCAGCTAAAGTCAACTAAAACAGCCCATTTAGGCAACAGCTCATCATATGAGCTCACGACCTCACTTGCATGGCCAAAATCACATGCATGCTTTGAGGATAAGGCATCTGAATGCACTTCAACAAGCTTTTTCATTCCAAAAGACAGAATCAAAGGATTTTTTTTTCTTTTCAGTACTAAATAGTATCAACAGAGAATTAAACATATACTTCCACCCATATTGGTGTGCTGCATATTTTTGTGTGTGCAGCGATTATCATTAGCTGTGCAACATGTTTCATCAGTTTGTTTATCTGTAGACATTGTTTCATTGTTATGATGTTTCATAAGGGTTAGTATGTTGAAGGGAAGGTAGAAGACAATGTATAGTATGACACTAGTGTTTGCTGAAAGAACAGATTTTCTGGCTGTGTCCAAAACCTATTGATCTGCCTTTTACTGTAAGTACAAAAGCAGCTGCTTTTTAAGACAGCATCCTGAAAATGGGACTGAAATGTAAGTGATTTTTGATTTGAAAAAACACTACAATACCATTCCAAAGCTTAGGGTCAGTAAGATGTCATTTTTATTAATTAAATTAAAATGAGCAAGAGGGTGGCTAACCGCACACTGATCCACTCAAGACTAAATTTCATTTTCATTAAAATGAGCAAGAGGGTCCACTCAAGACTAAATTTCATTTTCAAATATCCTACTGGCTCTACGCGCCTTTCTATTCATCAAAGAATCCTGAAAAAAAAATGATCACAGTTTTTTTACAAAAATATTAAGCAGCACAGCTGTTTTAAACATTGATAACAATAAGCAGCAAAATTCAGCTTTTCATCACAGGAATAAATTACATCTTAAAATATATAGTAGAACAGTTGCTTTAAATCGTAGTAATATTTAATATTTTTATATTTTTTCTCCCTTTTTTAATGCAGCCTTGGTTCCCCGGATGCATGTTAATTACTTTGGTTTTTAGATTTATATTTTATTTAAAGATTATCTACACAAAAAGTCGTACATACATACGCTAAATACCTGACTGACCATGGTTATCAATAAAACTGCTAAGTCTATAAAACTTAGTAAGTAATTCTAAAACGCAAATAAGCCGCTAAATCCGAACCATCAACTTTTATCGAAAGGTGTCGCTTTAAATGTAGTCGCAGGGGGCGCATGTGACGTAGCACACGCTTCCAATCAATCGTTGGCTTCCACGTTTTTAGGGGTGGAGAGAAAAGAGAGAAAAATATGTGAAAAATGGCTACCGTGCAGTCTGAATCCAAACAACCATTAGAAGAAAAAAACTCATTCCTGAAGTTATTCACTGGTTGTCAAGACACACAGAATATTGATGTATATGGCAGGGCAGCTGCGGGTTACGTGGAGGAAATCAAACGCTTTAGAGGACTGTAAAACGAAATGAGAATTTAAAGAATTGAAGGGCACTGCCAGATGTCGCTGTTTGTTGGTTTATGGGTTAGGAAAAAGAATAAATCACAACTGTGTGGTATGTTTTAACTTCTGCTAAGAGTGTGTCATTAAAAAGAGATGAAATCCTATTGTTACAAACTGCAATCTTATGTAGTTTGAAATGTGATCTCTACAGATTTTTAGAAATGCACTTATGGGACAGATTTCAAGTAGTATCAAGATCGGCATTAAATCGAGTTGCAAGATAAGATAAAGTATATTACTACTATACTAATATACTAATTACTAATACACTACTATTTAAGATAGTAGTATATTTACTTCCATACTGACATTTCTGAAATAACTGATGAGAGTGGCAATATATAGTAAAGATTAGTATGAAAGTTAAAAAAATGGTCACATTTACACTACTGATCAAAAGTTCAGGGTTGATATGATTTTTTTTAAATGTTTTTGAAGTCTCTTCTGTTCACCAAGGCAGCAATTATTTGATAAAAACATTAAAAACAGTAATATTGTGAAATATTATTATAATAAAAAAAAAAACTGTTGAATTTCCACAAAAAAGATTAAGCAGTGCAAATATTGAAAACAGTTGCACTGCTTAATATTTTTGTGGAAACTATAATACTTTTTTGTCACTATTCTTTGATGAATATAAAGTTTAAAAGAGCAACATTAATATAAAATAGAAATCATTTGGAACATTATAAATGCCTTTACTGTCACTTTTGATCAATTTAATACATCCTTGCTAAATAAAAGTATTAATAAAAAAAAATAAAAATCTTATCGACCCGGTGTTGTACACGTAAAGGCCAAAGGTTATATTAATGTCTGATTTTCTCACTGTATTCAGCACAGATTGGATGTGTTTAAACAGTAAAGACACACATGAATCATTATGTGCTAGTAGGGTGCAAAGTTCAGAGTCGGGTCAGATGGCCGTTAATGATCAGTTTGACTAACCTTGGAGAACAACAGTCATGTGACCTCCTCTGAGCAAACAAGCCACCTCTGCAGCTTTTCTCAGACAGCACCTGTAGAGACACAATCACATCAAACACAGCAGGGCAAAGCACACACAGCGGGATACACTGATGAAGGCAACATCAAGCTAAAAATGAAAGTTCAAGTTTAGAGCACTGAATTGTGGGATGCAGTATGCTCTTTTGTACACTGCACATTTTAGCAAATTAAGTGTAGGTAAGATTTGCATGCTTTCCACAGTATACATACTACAGTGCAGAAAAAGTGGGAGTGGTATGTTGGCCAGAAAGCAAACATTGTTAAAAGAGAGAAAACATTTCTACATGATGCATCCAAATATTGTTATATAGTTTAAAAGATCACTATTTATATTCATGCACAAATATACCGAGTATAGTCGAGCCAGCGAGTGCTTTCAAGAGTGGAGAGCCACTTGTCATCAGGTACTGATACAGATGATGAAATATCTGTAGGGCATAGAGACAAAAATACCACATTTTAAAACGAAATACTGGTCAATAGCTACATATAAGCATAATACATAAACATAAATATAAAATCATTTTACATAATAAAATGTAGTTATATCAAACTCCAATAATAAAAAAAAATGCAACGAGTGTCACATTTTAAAACTTAATAACAACAATACTGGTCAAAAGCTACATATAAGCATAATGCATAAACATAAATATAAAATCATTTTACATAATAAAATGTAATTATATCAAACTCCAATAAAAAATAAAAAATGCAACGAGTGTGGCTAATAAATGCAAATATGAATATATGCACATTCTATATAAAATACAATTATATCAACTCCAAAATGCAAAAAAAAAAAAGCAACAAATGTGGCTAATAAATAAATAATATAAATAACTATAAATGTACTAAAAATGCACATTTCACATAATAAAATGTGAAACAACACTAAGAAAACAAAAATGCAACAAATGTGGCTAATAAATAAATATTAATATATAACGCACAATTTACATAACGTTTAATTATAGCAAACAACACATGCATAAACTGTTGAAATTAAACACTTTAATTGTACATATTAAATAGGTCCAAAAATTATTACAACTATTTTATTGCCATATGCTTTTATAATATTTTGATATAATAATTATTATAATAATATTAATATGTTTGCACAGCCCATGTCGGGCCCAATCTCACAATGGCTGAAATTTCGGTCTGCTACTTCCTTATACTCAGAACCAGTTGAAATTTGACAATACAAAAATGCAGCACACTAAAGGAAAATGTGAGAAACAAAAAGCTGGTCAACCATAGTGGGACTGAGCGAGCTGCTGTTTCGGGCCAGTGTGGCTTCAACCACAGGAGGAATGTGAAGCCAGACAAAACAACAAGACTGTATCTCTGTATGACTAAAATGTATCTTTTCAAACAACAGAAGCTCTTGACCTCTGTACACAAAATCTTTAAATCCACACCCAAGTCTCAAAACAGCTGTTGCACAAAAAAAAGTTACAACATTTAACCACAAAAGATAAAAGACATTCCGATTCCAAACATTCCAATTGTTCAAATTCAAAGTACTTCACTCAAAAATGAAAAACATCCATGTAAGTCATACAACAGGTTTGTGTGAAGAACAAACTAGTTTTATGATACTTTTTTAGAGCTGTTGTGTCCACAGGTTTGGAACGACATGGTGTGTATTTTTTATTTTTGGATGAATTATTCCTTTAATATGCCCTGCTAAAAATAGCTTTTTTGGATGCTTAGGTGCTGCTGCACCCATCAAGCTCGCCTGGCCAGCATCTCCAAGTAGAGTTTGTTGGAACAGCAACAACCTGTCTTCCAATTGTTCAAATTCAAAGTACTTCACTCAAAAATGAAAAACATCCATGTAAGTCATACAACAGGTTTGTGTGAAGAACAAACTAGTTTTATGATACTTTTTTAGAGCTGTTTTGTTTTTTGTGGAGCTTGGCAGCATGTGGACGCAATAAGTTCTTACTGAATGGAAAAGAGAAGTGTGTTCAACATTCAGCTCAGCAGTTTCTTTTGTGTCCACAGGTTTGGAACGACATGGTGTGTATTTTTTATTTTTGGATGAATTATTCCTTTAATATGCCCTGCTAAAAATAGCTTTTTTGGATGCTTAGGTGCTGCTGCACCCATCAAGCTCGCCTGGCCAGCATCTCCAAGTAGAGTTTGTTGGAACAGCAACAACCTGTCTGGAAATTTAAGCTGGCTTTTGCACCAGGGTATCATCAGGCCATCAAAAATCAACTAAAATGACCCACCGCCCAGACAAAGAGTCCGGAGTCTGGTGTGAGCCAGCTGGATGTCTGCAGGTGATGGCATTTCCTCTCCCAGATCCACAATCACACACAGCTGCTGTCCGCCGAAGAGCACCAACTCCAGGTTCCTGCAGATCACAGACGACAAGTGCTCCGGTTAGTAACGAATGATCAACTGCTGCTAAGGAACGTCTAACTTATCTAGAAAAAAAGTAATGACAAACCTGATGTCGTCCTTCTCATGGTAGATGTTATTTTGGAAGCTGGCCATTCGTAGTAAGTCACTGCCATGTGGATGTCGCCAGCACCAGCGCTGAGGAAAGTTAAATGACATATGTGACCCTGAAGCACAAAACCAGTCTTAAGTCTCTGGGGTATATTTGTAGCAATAGCCAAAAATACATTGAATGGGTCAAAATTATCAATTTTTCTTTTATGCCAAAAATCATTAGGATATTAAGTAAAGATCATGTTCCATGAAGATATTTTGTAAATTTCCTACCGTAAATATATCCAAACTTAATTTTTGATTAGTAATATGCATTGCTAAGGACTTCATTTGGACAATTTTAAAGGCAATTTTCTCAATATTTAGATTTTTTTGCACCCTCAGATTCCAGATTTTCAAATAGTTGTATCTCGGCCAAATATTGTCCTATCCTAACAAACCATACATCAATGGAAAGCTTATTTATTCATTGGTGTATACATCTACATTTCGAAAAATTGACACTTAAGACTGGTTTTGTGGTCCAGGGTCACATATTATAAATCATAAAATATTCTTCGATATAAAAAAATCTTTTGACATACAGTATTACAAGCTGTGCTGTATTCAGTGCTGTGAAAATGTATTTGCATCCATCTTGATGTCTTCTGTTTTTGCGTCTAATCCATACCAAATACGTTTAGATCTTCAAATGAAATATAAAACTCAGGCAACCCGAGTAAACACAAAATACAGTTTTTAAATGATAATGTTATTTATTGGAGCAAAACAGTTACCCAATACCAACTGATTCATATCTGAAACAATTTAGTATAAAATATACACAAAAACAGAAGAAATTGGGAAAGAGCAAACACTTTTTCACAGCACTGTAATTTACCCAGAAGATGAATATTCGCGCACAAAGCAATTGAATGGCTTCAAAGTACTTAGTGCATCATATGAACTACTCTTATGGTGATTTTATGTCTTTTTAGGAGCTTGACAGACTCGTTTTGCTGCATGGAAAAAATAACAACATGTACTTTGGGAACTGTTACTAACTATTCCTTTAAGCACATAAACAGCATTCACAATACTTGACTTTCGCAATGTGAAATATTTATAAAGGGGATAATTCACCCAAAAATGCTCTAATTCATGTCATTCCAAACCTGTACAACTTTTTCTTCTGTTGAATAAAGAAAGATATTTCAAAGAAAGTAGAAACAGAAGTTCCACAGTAGAAAGAAAGTCTTAGAGGTTTGGAATGACGAGTGAATGATGACATAATTGTAATTTTTGGGTGAACTATCCCTTTAAGTGAAACCGAATATTTTGTGGGAAATAATGTTGTGTAGGAACTGATTTTTTTCCTTAAGGATTTGATTTGCGAGGAGTAGGTTTTGGTGAATTTTGGTAGCTTAGATTAAAAAGTATTTACATTTCAATTATGGTAACAATATAAAAGATAATGAAAACAAAATTAAGGAACATTTCATGCCGTGTTTAAAAGTCTTGTTGTTTTGTAGCGGGATGTCAGAATGAACTCACTGGGATGCGACCCTCGTTAAAGTGGGCAAATGTTTTCTTGAGCTCTGTGTCCAGGACCCTCTGAGGAACCACATTGAATCTGGGCAGACTGTAAGAACACAGGAGGAAAAAACATGTGAATAGTTTCCACATAGAATATGATGGAAGCATCATTCCTCCAGTCTTCAGTGTCACACGATACTTCAGAAATCATTCGAATATGCTGATTTGCTGCTCAAGAAAATTATTATTATCAGCGTTTAAAATTGTTGTGCTGTGCTTAATATTTTTGTGGAATGCATGATGCTTCTTAGGATTTTTTTAGGAAACAGTTTATTTGAAATAGAAATCTTGTGTAATATTATAAATGTGGTTAATGTCACTTTTGTTCAATTTAATGCATCCTTGCTGAACGAAAGTATTCATTTCTTTAAAAAAAAAAAACTTACTGCTCTTAAACATCTTAATAGTATTTGGATAAACATGCAATATGTAACAATATGCACTGTCATATTACTATACAACTGTAACATGTAAATCAGCAAGTGGTGGACAGTTATAATATTGAAATATGGTTATTTTGGTCCAATTTTGTGTGAAATGTCAATGTTACCTTCATTAAAAATTTTTATTTGCATACTGCTAAAATGGCACGAGTAGTATAGTAGCATGATATTTTGAACACACAAAAGGTTATTCATCAGAATGTATGTGTGGGAAAAGCATTTAGCAAACTGTTATGGAACAATGAACATCAGTCGTGTCTAAAGAGCGGAAAGACGTGTTCTAATGTCAAAGCTAAACTGAGCTCAGGAGGTCTGAAAGAGGAGCTCTACCTGGTGGACATCTCAAAGCGGTCATTGACAGAGCTGACCCTCCAGCCGCTGGCACCTGTCCTCTCCAGCTCCTGATCCCATCCCATCGAACACTCGAACCAGTTCATGTTAGGGTCACGCCGCCTGTTGCTTAGGAACTGCTTCATTTCTATAGACAGCATAGAGAAGCATTGAATGTTTGGATTGATTACAAGATCCGGTTTGTGTGCAAAACCTCCTGAGAGCTGCAAACCCAATTTGCTCACTGCAGGGCTCATGGACTGGTGCAATGAACATGCATTGACTACAAACAAACCTTGACAAGGTTGAAATAGGGCTAGAAGGTGACCTGTTTCAGATTACTTTCCATTATTCATCTGGTTACCGGTCACTTTCTCTCTCAGAGACGTGCCTTAGCTCACATTTCCTTCTATGATTCATTTGAATATCTAATATGTGTAGACCACAAAGATAGAAGTGGGTGAAAATAATTATATTCCAATATTCTTCAGCTTTTTGACAATATAAATTAAAATATTTATGTATTTGCTCTGAAATCACTTTTAAAAACATTGTTTTGTTTTTTTAAATGTAACCATTATTTTAGTAGATTCAAAATGTTTAACACAAAAAGTAAAATACAATAATAAAATATATTTTTAAATAATATAAAATAATTATCTAAAATATATATAAAATCATAATTAGCAATGTTTTCCATACTTTTTTTTTCAATAAATGACCACAAGAAAAAAAAGAAGACTCATTTACATTTATGTTCATCCGTGTAATTAAACTTAATTAACAGCAAAAATTACCTACCAATTGTTTACTAAATCTTAATTCATACAAGTACATGAATTTTTAATAATACAATACATTGCCTACTCCTACCTACAGCTATAATACTGATCTAAAACTCATTCCTTCACTTACTGATGCTTCAAAATCAACTGAATAACTGAAAATAGCTGAAATGTAAAAAATTCCTGCTCGTTTGTGCACTGTACTTGAAATTTATATTCTTACCAGTAGCAAACATATCACCAAGCTATCTAGTAAAAAGTGTGTCATCTGGAATATGTCACATTTTAACTACTATATGTGCTAATATCAGATAAACAACTTTAAAAAAACAATCACATATTATTCTAAATTATAAATATTGCAAAAACATCTGCTGGCAACCCTCAAGGAATGTTGTGGAGTCATATGAGATGGTCCTTACTGCAGAACACAAGATGCAGGGGGCGTAGTTGGATCCAGATCCAACTCCTCCCACCTTACATATACCTAAACCTACCTGTCTCCACCCCCTGATCCCTAAACCCACCCATCTCCACCCCTAAACCTACCAATCTCCACCCCCTAGATGTGGATCCAACCACGCCCCCTGGATCTTGTGTTCTGCAGTGAGGGGCTACTGGGTCAACTGAGCAAAATTGGTATCTTCAAGAAAGCAAAACAAACACATCAAATAGATGTCTGGGCGACGTATGTGTGCTATCAAGATTTTTTTCTTCTCACTGTCATGATGGATTTCTGTATTGATTATCAATAGCTCACCAATACTACCCAAAGCAGCATTTTGGAAGGAGAGGATGGTTCCAGGTTTCAGTGGCTGGTAGGTCTTAGCAATGGTGTACGTGATCTGAAAGCAAGTTGAAATAGAGTGGCAGTCATTAGTATGATGATCAAAGGCTTGAAACATACTCTACAATAATGTATTGTAAAAGCAAATACTTCAAACTTAAAGTCAGCAGTTTGGCTGGTTAGCATGGCCTCATTAGGGCCTCATGGTTTAAAAAAAACATCTTTCTCCACTGATGGCCATTCAAAAATAGCCATGTTTTCTGATAAAATAAATGTTTTCTAAAATATAATATAAGAATAGTAGAAATTTTGCCCGTATACAATTCAGTTTGGCTCTTAAAAGCATGAAATTAACATCTATATTTCCTGTCTCATGACTTTGGAGTCACAGCATATTGGCAAAAAATACACATCTGCATTTGCACACTTGCGCAAGTACACTATCATACAAAAGTTTGGAGTTTTAAAGGAATGAATTCTTTTATTCAGCAAGGGTGCATTAAATCGAAAAGTGGCAGTAAAGATGTTTATAAAGTTCCAAGAGATTCCTACTTCAAATAAAAGCTGTTCTTTTGAACTTTCTATTCATCAACAAATCCTCAAAAATAATGTATCACATTTCCCCCCAAAACATTAATCAGCACAGCTGTTCAACATTGAAAATAATAAATAATTCTGGAGCAGCAGTCAGAGCAGAAATCAGAATGTTTTCTGAAGGATCGTGTGACACTGAAGACTGGAGTAATGATGCTGAAAATGCAGCTTTCCATTACAGGAATGAATTACATTTTAAAATATATTAAAATTGAAAACAGTTATTTTGAATTGCAATAATATTTCACTGTATTTACCATGTACACTACCGGTCAAAAGTTTGTGATTAGAACTATTTTTAATGTTTTTTTAAAGGAGTTTCTTATGCTCATCAAGGCTGCATTTATTTGATCAAAAATACAGGAAAAAATGTAATATTGTGAAATATTTTTATGATGTAAAATAACGTTTTTCTATTTGAATATACATTAAAATCTAATTTATTCCTGTGATGCAAAGCTGAATTTTCAGCATCATTACTCCAGTCTTCAGTGTCACATGATCCTTCAGGAATCATTCCAATATGCTGATTTATAAAAAGTTAAAAAGAACAGTGATTATTCAAAATAGAAATTTTGTGTTAAAATATACACTACTATTCAAAAGTCTGGGGTCAGTAATTTTTTTCTTTTTTTTTAGATTTATATTTTTAATTAATGCTCTTCTTTTTAACTTTTTATTCATCAAATTATCCTGAAAAAAAGTATCACAGGTTCCAAAAAAATATTAAGCAGCGCAACTGTTGCCAACATTGATAATTCTAATAATAAATCAGCATATTAGAATGATTTCTGAAGGATCATGTGACACTGAAGACTGGAGTAATGGCTGATGGAAATTCAGCTTTGCATCACAGGAATAAATTATATTTTAAAGGATATTAAAATAGAAACCATTATTTTATATTTTAATAACATTTTGCAAGATTACTGTTTTTTTTCTATATTTTTAATCAAATAAATGCAGCCTGGATGAGCATAAGAGACTTATTTAAAAAACATTACAAGTCTTACTGATCCCAAACTTTTCAACGGCAGTGTATTGATCAAATAAATGCAGCCTTGCGGAGCATGAGAGACTTTCCTTATATTTTTATATGAAGACAAACCTCCACAGCTTGAGTATCAGGCGTGAGTCTGTCAAACAGAAAGCAGAGGACACGCATGTCTCGGCAGTACAACACCAGCTCCTCGGGGGTGAATTTTAGAGAGCAGGTAGGGGTCACTAGTTTGGTGCGAGATGGTCCCACTACAACACACATTTATATGCATTAAAACATGGCCTGGACATATTCTTTATAGGTTTCATAAAAATATGTATCCATTTATCTGCCTCACCTGCCACGACTTTATCAATGGAGGCGAGAGCTACGTCATGATCTCCGAGCAGCACAGGATCTGCGTTATCCTGAATAAAGAGAAAAGAAGCCATCAAGATAAACACGTCTGCAAAGCATGTCACACTAGACTGCCAGAGACTTTCTAAACTTCAGCTGGCCAAAAGCGCTTCACGGTCCACAGTAAGGCTCAACTTTACCCAGAAAAACATCTCAGCAATCTGTGGCACTCACGTCAGGTTTCTGGCTGTCCTGAGGCACGAAGGCCACTCTGAAATGAGTGCAGAACAGAGTCCCAGACAACCAGCCTCCTCCTTCTTTAGCCGACAGCTTCTTCCTCACCAGCACGGCTCGCTGTAGCACACACTCTCCTGCAAAAACAAATCACACATGATGAAAAAGACATGCCTTTAGTGACTTTTAGTCCATGTCTGTTAGTTTGGAGGTCATCTATATGCTAGTATTATGCTAAAAGTGTACTATAGCGATAGGAAAATGTGTGATCTGTGGAAGGAATGACACAAACATCTGGCTTTTAATTCAAAGGGAAACTTTAAAGTCTCTGTATGCTATAACGGTCACATATATAAAGGACATGCGGTATTTTAAAAACAGACTGAGGGATATTATGATTCAGTTGACATAGAACTCACACAATCATAAAAAGTGAAGGCAAAGGACAGAATTGAATGTCGGTAGAGCCCCTTAAACCCAGGCATGAACACGCTCTCACACACGTGAACTGAGTTGGGCTGCTCTTATGGCTCTTGTGGTCACTTTTCAAAGGCGAGTTTCTTCATTTTATGACTCTCAAGGGTGCGTTGGATCTCGAAGCTCATTCCTGAGGCATCATGGGATGCAGATGTCAGAGAGAACCGAGAGATTGGACCGTCACGGTGATTACTGTGCTATTAGAAAAACAGAGCTCTTTGGACTGACTGGACAGTTTCATGAACAGTGAAAATGTACTTAATTCCACAAGGTTTATAGCTGTTTCAGTGTTCTTCTTTTTAATTAAAACTAAAATGATTCAAAATTGCTGTCAGTAATCAGAATAAAGCTAAAATATAATAAAATAAAATATAATAAATATTGAATAAAAACCTAAAAATTAGAAACGTTGCCTTGGTAAGTTACTGAAATAACTAGTACTAAATGAAATAAACAAGTACTAAAATTGCTCAAATTAAAACTATACAGAAACACACACAAAAAAATAAATAAATGACTAAAACTAAAATTTAAAAATAAAAGCTCATTCAAACAGCAATAAATAGATACTATAATCAAAATAGATTATTTTCATTTTAGCGTAGAAAAACATGCAACTTATTCTGGACAAATATTCAATGAAGATAATACAAGTTTGTGTGATAGATGGCTGATATGCATTTAAAGTGTTTGACAGCTTATCCTAAATACCTTATGGGGCCTGTAAATTGTATAAATACATTTATAGTCAGTAAGTTAATTGTTATACATGTCAAATATTTAAATAATACTGAATCAGTTTAGTTTGCCAAAATCATTTTTTCTAAAAATTTATCTCAAAATAAAACTCTTTCAGTCATAATGAATAACACGAATCCATTTCACCCGGCTTGTGTTGAGTTTCATTGAGTTGCTGCTTTGCTAATTTGAACCACATGTACAGTTTGATTTGTTTTTGTCAACATTTGTTTTCTATTAAACTTCACTTTCAGGCAAGAGTAGCGTGCGCTACCAGAGTTATGCCATGTTGGTCCAACCTCTCCGGGTCACATCAGCCGGTTTGTTCCAGGTTTTATGCTACTGCATGACGTCATGTGAATAAGCAACCATGAAGCAAGGTCACATCTCGCATTCCCAATGATAACGGAGCAAAACATCAATCTTATTATTTCATAAACTTGCGGTTAAGACACTCCCAGCTAGGTTTTACTAGGTAACAGTGAACTTAAACCAGTAAGACAAAGAAGGCCTAACAGCTTAAACCACTTCAAAAAGTGCTGTCAGTGACACAGAAAATGTCTTTACTTTTTGATATGACACAATTGGGCTTTTAGAGAAATTGGACAGCCCTGGGCTTATGAACAGCAAAATTGCCAAAACTGCCAAAAAAACTAATTCCTTTCTTTTTACCCACCCCACAACACAAATAACAACTCCTCTATATAACAATTAAACAATGAACAGCATCTGGGGTATGTTTAAAACTGCATACTACCACACTACTGTTGCAGTATGCATCATGCACAATGTGATTTTTCTGTATGCATCTGACAAAACGTGCAGCATACAACCAAAACATGCCACAAAAATACTGTATCACACAATGCAAATGCAAACTGGTTTAAAAACCGCAAAATTCCTCTGATTCGGTTTCTGAGATGCTAACTGGATGCCATTCTCTCAATTCACCTTGAAACATAATGAGGTCATGTGACAACAACACAGTGTACTACACGTGTGAATAATTTATCATTGCATATGACATACATTCTTTTAAATAGCAGGCTGTCAGCAGTGTATACAGTATAATCTACTCTTTCAAACTCCTCTGACCTGTTGACCTCCAGGGACCGATTCAGTTTCCGCTGCCCTGCGTCGGAGGGTTATCTGAGATTGTGCGGATGGAGGTAGAGTCTTACACATGACTGTACTGACCATGAGAGCATGTGTGTGTCAACGGATCTCTGCAATGTGAGCCCTGTGACCCTGAATGGTTAAACGGAGTTTGTCGCTCCATATTAAAACCACTGTGAATGGATGAGACTTGTGGCACATGATATCTTAGACATCTAGGATTCAAATGAATGAAGATCCCACAACAGAAGAAGTCATGACATGTGCTGCCTCAGACTGCTATTCAGCCAATAATATTATGTTTGCTGTCTACACGGCCTATAAATTACTACTGTATTTATGTCTATATTGTACTGGTGTGTACATTAGTGTAAAGATCTATGAAAGAAGTCTCTTCTGCTCACCAAGGCTGTATTTATTTGCTTAAAAATGCAGTAAAAACAGTAATAATGTGAAATATTATTAAAATTTTTAAGAACTGTTTTCTATTTAAAAATATTTTAACGTAATTTATTCCTGACTTTTCAGCATCATTATTCCAGCCTTCAGAAATCATTCTAATATGCTGATTTGCTGCTCAAGAAACATTTTGTATTATCATCAATGTTGAAAACAGTCGTGCTGCTTAATATTTTTGTGGAAACTATGATACAGGATTTTTTTTATGAATATGAAGTTTAAATAAAATTATTATTAAAATTTAATAAAAAATATTATAAATGTCTTTACTGTTACTTCTGTTTGAATTAATGCATCCTTGCCAAATAAAAGTATTAATTCCTTAAAATAAAAAAAACCTTACTGACACCCAAACTTTTGAAAAATAGTGCATGCTGTTCAAAATGAAAACAAAAGTAATTAATATTTTTATCACTAACGGTAGCTTTGCAGGTATCAATAAACAAATTTCGTAACAAAAGTGCTTTTACACATCCAATAAAAAAACAAATCTGAGAAAAAAAAGTTCTGAAAAAAAAAAAAGTGTTGCAATAGCTTTTAGATATTTTACAGGAATAAAACATTTTTGGGGCCATTATTTTAAGTGTCCTTGAGAATTTGATTGAATTCACAAATGTAAACAGTGAAAAGTAAAAACAGACAGGTGTGTGTGTTTAGTGTCCAAACAGAGACTATGCAAGCTGAATATCAACAAAGACCGAGCTGTGTGTGAGAAGCGTTGAGGTGAGCAGCTCTATTAAAGGTGGGGTAAGCGATTTTTCAAAAACGCTTTAGAAAACTGATTCAGGCCGACTAGCAAAACAAACTTGTAGCCAATCAGCAGTAAGGGGCGTGTCTACTCTCCTCCTACGTGGAGGAGAGAGCGTTCAGTGCACAGTACGGACATTAGCGAGCTGAGCGACAGAAAGAAAGAGATGGCGGATAAAAAACAAAAGAGGAAAACGTCTGCGGAACAAAAGAAGGCTTAAGGCAATAAGGCAAGAAGCAGGACCCGTGTAAATATCGGATCAGCTTTCCAGCGCTGGAGAGAACTCAAGGAGCGTAAGGCCTGCGATCGGACGCCGAGGTTGCTTTGTTTCTTCTCGATAGGTGAGTAACACCGTGTCTGCACTGCAGCAGCTAAAGTCTAGTACACTGAACCCGACAAAGCGACCATTGAAAATCATTTGAAATTTGTTTCAATACGTCATGAATAGAACGCAGCAGCAGTTTTCTGTCGGGGATTTGTCGTGTCGTGTCGTGTCGTGCCGCGCCGCGTCCAGTGTAGACCATAGATATGTATATATATCTCTGGTGTAGACAGCATCACTGATTATAATGAGTTCTATAGTATTTTGTCGCGCCGCGCCACTCGCATCCGGTGTGGACACAGTGTAACATTGGTTTTGCTTTGTTTCACAGAACTAATCGTTGCCTGGGTAGCTTACGTATGTGTGGGGCGGAGCTATCAAAATAGGGGCGAGAAACTTTTGGGGTAGGGGCGTGTTTGTTTTGGTGATTTCAAATGTCAACATTGGCTACCAGAAATCGCTTACCCCACCTTTAAATGTTGACGTGGTGGGAAACGCTCTGTGCTCCCAAAGCGCTGCTGAGCGTAAGCGCTGATATGAAGTGTTACAGATTAGGTTGTTCGGGTCGGACTCACAGCCTGCCAACATTCCTGAGTAAAGCTGCTGCTTAAACACACTGCTGACGCTGAGATTGTGGTGAGGGGCTACTGGGCTTCAACACACACTCTGCACACTGAGCCATTGTTTTCTGAGGCCATTCACACCCACAGAGGCAGACGGACCACAGCCATCCAGACCTGGTCTTTTCCTGTCGGAGATCAACTACCTGAAAGCAGCGCCGCTATTAACGTGACTACTTATTTCAGAAGGTTTTCAAAACAGTGTAGCTTTTCCGACACACTCTCATCACACTCTCTTAGAATAGTCCCCTCTCTCAAATGGCATTAGGAAGTCTGATTCATTTCAGGGAATCATTTGATTCTGACAATTTGTTTGTGAAATAATTAAATTCAATAAACTGATTCAACAATACGATTTGCAGATTCATGAATCACTAAATTTTCACACGTTAAATCCCTAAATGTAATTTTACTTATAATTTTTTGTAGCAAAAATACATTTTTAGTCACTATGCTTTTTAATGTTTTTTAGTTTAATAAAAGTATTGTAGTTCATAATTTTTTTTTTGTAAATTTGCATTTACTAACTATGAAACTGTAGTTTGACAAGCTCCAAACTATACATAATTAAAAGTAGTTTCATCAACATGGTTCCTGACAGAACTACTTCAACTTACACTACTGTTGTACTGTTTTTTGTCTTGTTTTTTGTAGAAATTAATACTTTTATTCATCAAGGATACATTAAATTGATCAAAAGTGACAGTAAGGAAATGTATAATGTTACAAAAAAAGGCTATTTCAAATATATACTGTTCTTTTGAATATATTATTTATCAAAGAATTCTGGATTTCCATGAAAATATGAAGCAGCACAACTGTTTTCAGCATTGATAATAATCAGAAATGTTTCTTGAGCAGCAAATCAGCATATTAAAATGATTTTCGAAGGATCATGTGACACTGAAGACTGGAGTAATGATGATGAAAATTCAGCTTTGTATCACAGGAATAATTAACATTTTAAAATATATTCAAATAGAAAACAGTTTAATAATATTTAATAATAGTATTTTTGATCAAATAAATGCAGCCTTGGTAAGCAGAAAAGCATTGAAGGGATAGTTCACCCAAAAATGAAAATTTGATGTTTATCCGCTTACCCCCAGGGCATCCAAGATGTAGGTGTTTTTGTTTCTTCAGTAGAACACAAACGAAGATTTTTAACTCAAACCGTCGCAGTCTGTCAGTCTTATAATGGCAGTCAATGGGCTCCACGGTTTTGAGAGTAAAAAAAATATACACAAACAAAACCAAATTAAACCCTGCGGCTCGTGATGATACATTGAGGTCTTAAGACATGAAACGATCGGTCTGTGCAAGAAACTGAACAGTATTTATATCATTTTTTACCTCTGATCCACCGCAATGTCTGAGCGCGTTCACAACATCCGCCGCGTGACGTCAAATAAATATGGTTGGGCAAAAAATTCCACATTGTCTGATGATATATCAAAATCGTCTTCCATTGTGATGACCTGTACTTCTAAATATCTTTAGATCATCGTAGTGCCAGTGAACACATCCGCAATCTCTCTGCACTGTGTAAATAATGAGTGAAAAATGGTAAAAAATGATATAAATACTGTTCAGTTTCTTGCACAGACCGATCGTTTCATGTCTTAAGACCTCAATGTATCGTCACGAGCCGCAGGGTTTAATTTGGTTTTGTCTGTGTATGTTTTTTTTTTACTCTCGAAGCCGTGGAGCCCATGCATTGACTGCCATTATATGACTAAAAGACTGCAACGGTTTGAGTTAAAAATCTTCGTTTGTGTTCTACTGAAGAAACAAAGACACCTACATCTTGGATTCCCTGGGGGTAAGCAGATAAACATCCAATTTTCATTTTTATTTTTGGGTGAACTATCCCTTTAAAAACATAAATAAATAAATAAAAATTCCCCAAACTTTTGAACGGTAGTGTAATTAATTAATTAACGGTAGGATAACAGGGGAAATCCTGTTATAAATGTTAATATATTATAAAAATAAGCTTGCATTGTGAGATTTACCTGGTAAACAGCAGAGGCCAAGCACATCTCTCCCACGTGCATGAAGGCTACTGTGGCTCATCATCCTCTCCTGTAGAAACACAGAGAGATAATAAACAAATGAAGGTTGTCATATAGTATGGTAAAATTAATAGGGGTTATATGTGCAACAAACTTCTGCATTCTTTATATCAGGTCATGCCATTTCTGGTCCAGGTCTTTTCTAAGTGCTTCGTTAAATATAGAGTTGTTTTACTCAAGATGCCTTCAAAAAAGATACAAAAGATTATCATAACTGACGCAAATTGATATCTAAAAGTTTATATCTTCTTCTCCATAACATTGGGATATTAAAATTGAGTAAAATGCCAGCAAAAAGAATGACTAGCCAGTTTAGCAGATTACCATAAAAGTCCATAGATATCGCCATTAGTTCATATATTGCTGTTAATACTTTCTTCAACAAGCGGATGCAATGAGACTGGTTTTCCTGTTTGGTCAGGTGATGTTCAACATATGCATTATGCACAAACAATTTATGCGTTTCAAAAATTACTAAAAATATTTAAAAACAGGAAGTTCAGACTCATACTAACATATTAAGAAGACACTGGTTAATGCTAAAAATCTCAAAATATTGAACAATTCATTAGTCTGGCTGATGCACGCTATGCAAATTTGCCTTCTGATACAGTGACAGGATGAGAAATGAGGCCTAAATTGATATGCACTGATCAGAATAGTGGTTTGAAAGCACCTCCTGGCACTATATTTAAATTGCATTCATCTCTAAACAGACTTTCAGGTTTCATTTCCCACAGTGCAACTGAACCACACAAGTAGGTTAAAATTGAACACGCTGATATTATCAACCCATTTATAACAAAGCGTCTTTCATTTGCGAGTCACTACTGGGTAGAACAGAAGTCTAACAGGGATGACATACTTCCAGAGGTCTGAACCCACAGAACTAATACACCTCAATGGAGAAAGAGCTTCAGCATCTCTGTAACTTTTCAATATAGGGAGTTTGAACCAGAAGCATCTGGCTGCATCATGCAGATAATAACTGCAGTTATTTAGACATTCAGAGTTTGATTAAACCAAAAGAGAACAAAAGAGTTAAAGAAATGTTGCACTGCCAACATAAGCACCATTTGAGAACTTGTTAGCTAATCCCTAATATTAAACAGCCTTGATATTGGATTATATTAAAGGGGTCATATGATGCGATTTCAAGTTTTCCTTTCTCTATGGAGTGTTACAAGCTGATTGTGCATAGATAAGATCCCTGAAGTTGCAAAGAGCATCATATGACCCCTTAAATACAAACACCATCCCCCCAAACCTGCAAAAAAATATAAAATAAATTAATTAATTAATTAAAATAAATAACATTTAAATAAATAAAGAAAAATGTCAAATTAAAATAAACAAACAAATAAATATTTTTATTATTTAAATTCTCCTACTGAGAATTTGCGTGCTAATCACTAACACGAAAAAGCTTTGATACTGGATTATATTAATATAAACACCGTCCCCCCTAAACCTGCAAAAAAAAAAAAACATTACAATTGAAATAAATACATAAAAAACTTTAAATTAATTCATTAATTACAATAAAGTTTAATTAAAAGTTAAATAAAATGTAATTAAATAAAATAAAAAATAAAGTAAATCAATTTCAAGATAACTTTGTATATGATGCTATAATATTATTTTTGGCAATACTGCATATCAACCATGTATAAAATTATTTACTGCTTGCTCATTAGTTTCAGTTTTGTGTAAATTTAGTCGCAAAATACTAGACTCTAAAAGGCAGCCAGAATAAAATCCACCAGAACAAGAACAACAAAAGTGTTTTATTATGGTTTCCTTTGAAGGAAGGCTGGTGTTCCGGCCAAGACCTGAAGGAAAACAACAACAAAGTGTTTCTAAACAGAGGCTCCATTTAAAAATTTAACTAGGACAGGAATAAATGCGTGCACAAGTGTTAGTTTGTTTGTTTTCAGGCTTAAGCTTTTAAATGGTCACTTTTATCACTCTGTGATCAGAAACAGTGTGTTCTAAACAAGCAAACACACTCTTGCATTTATGGGCATTTAAAATTCCACCCTGCAGTATTCCTAAACTAATATAGATCGACAGTACAGAGAGGAGTCATTAAGCATTCAAAGCCCAGGAAACTGGACTGCTTAACATCTCTGAGAAAGTGAATACATGTGCAATAAGTGCAGGACAGATAAATGAAAGGGGAAAAAAAACCTCAGTAGCACATTTTTTGCTGAGGGTTCAGTTCTTCGAGTCACATGCTCGCCACCGCTATTGTGTAATCTCTCTTTCATTGCCTCTTTCTTCACCATTAAACACATCCCTCCCTCCTTCCTCTCAGCTTCTGAGGGCAGAGGCAGCCAAGACTCATTGCAGTTTCCATTGCTCATGGCTTTCCCTGGTTTCTGTGGCCAGAGAATGCAGCTGAGGGAACATACAGGCCTCCTCTCCCCCGAAGCAGACAGGCCAGACTCGCAGAAACAAGACGGCCAATGGGAATGCACTGTGCCACCACATAAACCTCACACTGTTAAGTTTATTAGTCATCGCCTAGAGGCACAATAAGCCTTTGTGCGGAGCATCAATCTACAGCTAAATGAGGCAACTAGAGGCCTGGTGGGACGCTTAAACCTAGCGCTTTATAGAGCCAAGCTATTGTTCGGCAGCTCGCTATTTTCTTCGCGTGCATCTCTCTGCTGCAGAGAAATGTCAACAAACGGGAACAATGCATCCATTTCTATAAAGTATTTTCTCTGTATGTCAGTTCAGATGGTTAAAAATAGCACCTTTGTTCTCAAACTAACATACCTGAAATGAAAAAGCATTCTCGTCTAGCCGTGACGCTGCCTTTCCTGGGCTTTATTTCCCAAATTAAACAGCTATCATCATTCCTTAGTGCAAAAGGGGGGGAAAAAAATCTATATTACAACAAGGGTTATTGTGGTTAACTAAAACTAAAACCAAAATAATTAAAATAAAATTTTCCGTTACTTGGAATAAAATTAACGTTATATGAAATAAAGTAGTAATAAAAAAGTAACTTATTTTAGCTAGTTTTCAAGGCAACATTTTTCATTTTCATTTAGATTCACTTGATGTACTAAAATAAATCAATAAAAACTAAACAGACATACTAAAAAAAACAAATAAAAATGACAAAAACACAAATAAAATGACAAAACGGTTAAATGAAAATGAAAATAGAAACTTAAAAAACTAATGTAAAATATTATCAGTGTTATTTTAGTATCATTCATATACTATTATTGTTATTGTCAATATTTTGAATTAGATTTTTTTTCACTTTAATTTTAGTTTGTGTTTTGGTTATTATTCAGGGTTTCTGCAGACATGAACAAGTTAAATTTAAGACTTTTTAAGACCTTTTTAATACCACCTTATGAAATTTAAGACCTAAACCTGTAATGGAAATACACATTTTATTGCATACATATATGTAATATTTAATGTGTATAAATTAAAAAGAAAACAAAATATCATTGCTGTAATAAATGATAGTTATTACTACGATATACAGTGAACTTCCTGTTATTGTTCTTTTTTTAAACATGTCTATATAGTATTTATTCATTTTTATTTAATATTTCTACTTTATTTTGTTTGAGATATTTTAATACTTTAAGTTAAAGTAAAAAAATTTGAATTTTTTTAATTTTTAGTTTTTTTTTTTTCTTTTGGTTAAATGCTAATCCTAATCCCAATAATTAAAATAACACTGATTAGCCTACTACTGCTCATATTTAAAGATCTGTAGCGCTAAATAATACACATTGGCACGTACCTCATCCTGCACCACTAGTACTACAAATTTGATAAATCGCAATTAAATATTTTCGCTTGGAGGGTGATAAATCAAGTCCAAAACAGGACCTGAGCCATATCTAGAGACCTTAGGCCAGCAAGAAACCCAGAACACCCTAGCAACACACTAAAAACCCACTCAGAACACATTAACAACCACACACACTGTAAAAAATGATTGTGATTTTAACAGTAAAAGACTGTAAAAATGCTACAGTAAAAACCTGTTAACTGGTTAACATTAAGTTTCCATACTATATACGGAGAATACATATAATTACATTTGATGTAATTTTACAGTAAAATACTGTTAAAAATACGGTTTTGGAAGTGAAAAATAAAAATTTATTGTATAATTTACAGTGAAAAAACTTAAATTGACACTCCCAGAATTCCTTGCATGACACTTCATATTTGATGTTTTTTTGTTGAAATAACATGTTTCTTCTTTTTGTTGTGTTTCTTATCAGTTGTGTACATTAGGGTTTAATCTTACATCTAATGTTGTTAAATTAATGTTTATTACATTATTTCAGTATCATGTGTGTCACCATGATGGGGTTTAGTGTTTGTGTGAATGACACTGTGTGCACCTTCTATATATAAGTATTGCCCTCCTCAGCTCATAGAAAAGCTGTTTGTGATGAGCTTTGGTTCATCACGTGACTTTCTCATCACCACCAGTTTTTGGTGGTTATCAGTGCATTACAATGGTTCAAATCAGATATTAACACTTCAGTATGTTGGTTTATTAACATTACATCAATTAATAAAATACAGTATTTTATTGTGAATTTAAGTTAAGTCTGTAAAACCTAAAATGTTGCTACCATATTTTTTACGGTGAAGTTCTGGCAACCACAGCTGCCGGTATTTTACCGTAAATGTCACAGATTTTTTTTTACAGTGCAGCAACACCACAATACCCTAGAACTGCGGCAGTGATTTAGGATTGGCAAGCATCACTCTCTACAAAACTGTTTTGCAAAACTAATCTAGTTTTATATAGATTCATATGCACAAACCACCACTGTTCCAGCTGTTTTTGTCATATAAATCTTACTCAGTGTCGTCATTCTCTTTATGGAGCTTATTAAGAAACCCACATCTCAAAAAAAGCAGTGCAGGGAAAGCTCCAAGGTCAATTAGAGGGTGTGTCGCAGTCTTGTTTATGTCATGCATCGTCTTTTTAAATAATTTAAAGTCAAAACAAACCTTCAGCAAATCCCTTATTTAAACAACCACTCATCTCGCACCGAAACCAGATGACGCCGTTCACTTCAATAACATAAACGCAAGTAATTACATACGCCACATGGCATATTCCACTCCAACCAAACAAGCAACAATGAATGAGATATCCCTGAGCTCTACAGCAGTATATTTGCATTTACAGTGTGAAGTCTGACCCATGGGGGAAGCGGCGAGTCATATTTTAGTTTTATTTTTTAAACTATCGACATTCCAGACGAGCTGATCCCAAGACTCCCATTTGAAGAGTCTGAAACGTCACATGTCAGCTATGAAAATCTCTGTTATGACTGAGTGACTGGTTTGAACTGGCTTAATGAGTTTTAAATGAAAAAGCCAATGTGGTAAAGTCTCGCCACAACTGCTACATTCACAATTCCTTCTCCATCTGTTCATTTACAGCACTGGATCAAAATATAGGTGGCCCCATTCTCAAATTCACCAGCTTGGGTGGCCTCCATCCACACAATCTACACAATTGGATTCATTTTCTAAGCAGGGAAGAGTCACGTCTGACACTTCAGCAATACTGATTCCCCACCTCCACACCTAGCGAGTTCTGGGTAGGCTGTTCCCATGGCAACAGCCAGATGTCGTGCACATCGGGGCCTCCACACTCTCCAGAATCCGCGGGTGGAGGCATCTGCTAGCGTTTTTCCCCCCCGAGGCAGCTTAAAATAGCCAGGGAAGAAAAGGCATGCAGTAGAGGTGAGCAATAGCAGATTATAGCTCAAGAAAGTAGAGGATTTGCTCTCCCATAAATAAAATTTGTCATCATTTACTCATGCTCTCGTCATTCAAACAAATATATTATTTTCTTTCTTGCATGAAACACAAAGATGATTTTAGGAGGAATGTCCGATCAGCTCTTTTCCAACAAAAACAAACAAACAAAAAAATAAATAGTGAAAGGTAATTTATGCTGTCAATCTCCTAAACAAATAAAAAATGAATAATTTAAATAATCAAACATTTTTTTTAAAGCATTGAGTGTAAAACAAATGTTCTTTTCTATACAACCAAAGGGGATTGCAATTTATACTCTCAATCCTCAAAATAAATAAATTAACCAATTAAAAAATTAAATTATAATGCGTTATTTATATGAAATAAATATTTAATATTACAATACATCAAAACATATTTATGTCTCCAAGCATGCTTTATGAATGACTAAAAAAACATAAAATAAAAATACACTCACCACACCCTATGAGATAAAAAAATACACAAAAAGAAAAATGAAACTGAATTCCCATCTGAGAATCCAATAAAGGAGGCTCTGTTATTCCAACATATTTAGGCTTTATCATTTTTAAGTAACAAATACTCTATGCCAGACATTCCTTGCCCACTAAAGCAGATTTATGCTTTCTTATTCCTTTGAGTTTTTGATTATTATATTTTTTTCCTAAATGGAAAAACTGACTCCTCAACCACAGATTGTCGACTATTCCATTTAAATAGTTTCTGGTGAAATGAAATTATGTGAATGTAGTTTCCAAATACAATAATGTGAGAGTTATGGAAGATAGAGTATAGAACAGAAAAGTATATTCCATCATTCTCACAGCATCTGAAAAATACTAAGCACTGATGTAGTTCAGGTCCAAAAACCAGCTAACCTGAGCTCAAATTCATATGCCAGACAACATAAATCATTCTTAGAAAAAGTTTTAAACTATTTTTTAATGGAAAACTGACTCCCACCACAATTGCAGATCTGCAATTTACCTATTTCTGGTAAAAAGATGATGCATTTAATGGATGCAGTTTTCCTGGGAAAGTGACTAGTAACATTTGCATGAAAGTTGCACAAACATTTACTCATCTGTTATAAACTTACTGACAGATGAAATACATAAAATTCACATGGGCGTGTTTGAAACCTTCTCAAAATCGTGCTTACTTTAATATGAATTACAGTGTTTATATTATACTTAGACGACACAGAAATTAGAAAACAATGATAAGCTTCTAAATAAATGTTGGATATTTATATTATTATTTAAGCTTACCTTCATGTCCGGAACCATCTGTCTCACTTTAAAGGTGGTTTTGGACCCTGTCAACATGATTTCAACCTAAAACAGCTCCGGACTAACAGGATAAAAGGTGTATTTGAAAGAGGTTTGACGGTTTGATCATGTCCATGTTACTGAAATCGGATGGTCCGCGTCCAGTCTGCATCACTAAAGCGCTTTCACACATTTCTCCATCCGTACCATGTTAATATATTCAACTAAACGCGAAATCATCCCTAACGGAAATCTATTTTCACAAAGAAGACGCGCTTTTTCCCACCGCATTTGTTTACAGCCCCTTCGCCATAGTGAAATGACACGGGTGTTACGGAGTAACAAAAACCAGGACCGAGTCTCTTAAAGGGCCAGTACAGTACTGTGCTTATGGACTGCTTCCATCTGTCTCTTAAAACCTAGTGAGCTGCAGCTCTTTTGGACATCCGTGGCCATGTTCAAAATATCATAGTAGCGTACTACTCTTACAATTTATACTTAATATAGTACGTATACTATAAATAGCATTCACATGTTCTGTATGAATTATCCACAAGATCTGACATTTCATTTACAAATATGATTAGTCACTACAAGGGTTAATGTTTGGCTAGCTAGCCCCTACTGGTAGATTTGCTGGTAAAGTCTTTTTTCCCATTGACAAGCATTTAAAACGACAAACTCTGTTTTTTTCCCATT